CTAGGCTACAGGTGCTTGGTACCACATCTCATTCATGTTGCAGGAGAATAATAGGAGGCACCCTGGGCTGGCATGACTGTTGCTAGCAGCAAATCAGGGGCCTGCTTACCTGCTAAACGGCGTGGATGGATAAATCTGCATCTCCAGCTCTTGTGGCCTGACAGCCGACACCCTTGGCTGTCAAAATATCTCCACAGTGCCTGTGTGTAACTGAATGAAGGTGTTATTTGGCCAACACTTTTTTAAAGGCACTCTTAAAGGAAAAATAAAGCAAGGGTCTACATAGACCCGTGATTGGGGCTGCCACAACACAAAAAATGTATTGATAGAGACAATTTTTTACTGACACACAAACTGTACTGACAGAGACACATTTTTTTAATGACAGTTACAAAAGTTATTGAAAATACCCAAAAAGAATATTATGGGACTTTCCTGGTACAGTATAGGACAAACTCGCATTTTTAAAATTATGCATGTTGTTGAGTACCATATGAAGTAACATTGTTTAAAAACAATACATGGCTAACTAGCCTAAGTAGTATCAGCATTGTTCTCTATAACTTTGTGTCCTCCAAAGGTTGACGTGTTTTGCTTGCTAGCTTCTTCAGGACCGTAAAAATTGGAGGCAAAGAGATCAGATTGATGTGCTGATCGACTGCAGCTGATCTCATATGCGGAAAGGGTATATATTTTATGAGCAGATGTCTGATATCCACTCCGCCCCTTGAAGACGTCAAGTGACGAAACGCGTTGGGCCTGGCCTAGTGGATGTGACGTTGGGACGTTCCTCCCAGCTGTTCGTCTGTTTGATCGCAGTGCAGGAGGTTCGTCCCTTGGTTTTTCCCTTGTGGATGTGGCATTTTAGAGGCTGTCATTGCTGGTGTCGGCTAGACACCTTCTTTGTGAGTGCAATACTTTATTAATAAAATTTTACTGGTTTTAATTGTACTGCACCATCATATCTCTTGTTATTCCTCGAGCTTTGCCCATGTTATTGGAAGATCATTTGGCGCTTAGCTGTTCCATATGTGCTGCCTAGCTGTTCCATATGTGCTGATTGGATTACTATTGGTTGCTGTTCCTCTACTGGGATATCCTGCAGATCATCGCTCCCAGAGCAAAATGCTATCATGCTGGTTTATAATATAATCACAATATAGCTCTGGTGAGTGTATTCATTTCATCTGGTGTCGGATTTGCACATAGGTGTTTGTTTTCAAGATTGACATTAAGTTGATATTGGACTATCACTGTTATGGTGGCTGGACTTATGTTTATATTTATGAATTCATTTATTTTTATTATTTATCCTTGCATGTTTTGTGAATAATTAGCGCACTTTTTATTTGTACACTATTTTACCTTTTTTGGTTAGAGGTGCTGCTTATTTGATTTATTTTGCATTTTCCGTGGCGCTTCTTATATCTGCTACAAAGAGATCAATTGCCTTGGCTAAGAAAATATATATATACAGTATATATACATACATAAAATATTAATCATACAAATAAAGTTCCAAAGAAAACATAAACATTGAAAACTGTTCTCTGCAAGCTCACATACTGATACAGATGGGGATACAGGGCATCAGCACACATACAGGGAGTCATCAGAGTAGTCCTGGGAGGGCACCCATTTCCATTGTTCATCCTGATGTCCCAAATATAATGGTAACCTAACCCAAAGGAAAACCACAAAAAAAATAAATAAAAGCCAGAGAAGACCCCCCCCCCCCACCCTCTTTTGGTCTGTTCTCCCTTTTATTTCATTTTTCGTGGGTCTCCTTTGGGTTAGGATACCATTATATTTGGGACGTCAGGATGAACAATGGATATGGGTGCCTATCCAGGACTAAGGAGTCCACAGAGCTCCCCTTTACATTACAGTCCACAAAGTTCCCGCTTACATCAGACTCCAGAGTTACCCTTTACTTTAAATTCCACAAAGTACTCCCTACATCAAAGTTCACAGAGTTCCCCTTTACATCAGAGACCACAGGGGGAGCCCCTGCAGGCCCTGATGTAAAGGGGAACTCTGCAGACTGTCCCTAATGTAAAGGGGAACTCTGATGTAAGGGTGATCTCACCAGAGCCCCCCCCCCCTTCCTTATACAAGAATCCACAGAGTTCCCCCTTACATCAGAGACTGCAGGATTCCCCCTCACAGTGCCAGGGGGAACTCTGAGGACCCTGATGTAAAGGGGAACTCTAATGTGAAGGGATCTCTGGTCACCAGAGCCCCCCCCCCCCCCTTTCTTACATCAGAACCCTCAGTTTTTCCCATCCAAGCCCGGCCAGCTTTGTAACTGCATAATTGACATTTACGGACAGTTTGTAAACTGGCCAATATTTACAAACTGTAAAATTACAGACAGTTGGCAACTCTGCCCCTTATGTTTCACCATGCTGTCAGCAACTACAGACTGGGGGAAAGATTCACCACTTGTATTTATCGAGTGACAGGTTTTCTTAAAGCAGTATTAAATCCAGAACCAAAAATATATTATATTGCAGCTCACCAATCATTAGATGTGGTGCTTCATTAGTTGGTGATCTGGCCGGGTACACACCTCCTGTATTAGAGGGCCTGGATGAAGAAGCAGCAGAGACACCTTTGGACAGGAGCATTGTTAGTATGGGGGTAAAGGAGTGCTAGATGTACTAGCAAATTTAAATACACTAACAAATTGAAGCCAAACTCCAGCTAACACTTTTTTAAGCATTCACAGCAAACCATTTTTTTTCCTTTTGGGGTAAAGGTTTTCCATAAATATCTATAAGCTGACCATTGTAAGCACCCCTGTCAGTAGCAAATGGTTTATCTCATCCCAACTGCTACAGCTGGAGGACAGCTTGTTCCGTTGAAAAACAACAGACTTACTGGCCAGATCACCAGGTGAAAATAAAAGAAAGAAATCCTAAATCAACACTAATGCAGCAATCACATCTAAGAATTAGTAAGCTACAACATCATAAATGTTTGATTTTGGGTTTACTACCTACTTTAAAGGTATACCCAGTGAAATGACTGGTCTCAGGTGATACACAGAGATGAAACAAATCCTCCTACACAAGTTGTGCTTGTTTATCTACAGCCATCTTTCCTTTACATCCATTCAAAGATGAGAATTTACACAGGATCTCTCAGCTCTGAAAAGCAGGGGGCGGAGAGCTAAAGTTATATCAGTGAGGAGAGCTCTGAGAACTGATTGGAGAGAAGGGACACACACCCCTCTTCACACAGCACACAGGAACAGAGCTGAGGCTGTCAATTTGCTGGAAGTCCCTTCCTTGTCACCATTTTTCTCTTGGTGTCAGGAAAACTTGTCAGAAGTGATTCATGCTGATAGCAGAGGAAGGAGGCAGCAGGCAGAAATTACGCCTAGTGCTCTTAATTGAAACAAGTACACACCGTAGAGAGATATGCTTTGTTCATAATTCATGTTTGAGGTTTACAACCACTTTAAGGCAAAATTAGTATATTTTGAGTAAGCACGCCACTTACATGATAATGTACAGCTTACCTTTAGATTGTAAGCTCCGAGGAGCATATATTGATGTATATATTATATTGAACTGTATTGTTGCTGTATTGTCTCCCGTTACATTGTAAAGCGCTGAGCAAACTGCTATAATAATAATAAAAATAATACCTAAAAGTACATTTACATACTTCTAATTCAATAGTCCCGCGACTGTAGAATTTCTCTAGAGACTTTTTGTTTGTTGATCGTTTTCGGCTCCCCTGCTAAGATTCCAGGACGAACCTCATAGAAAATACAGTGAATTTTATCAGTTAGAGTAGACTGGTAGACTTGCTCTATGAATGAATTAATGTTTTTTTTTTTCTTTTTTTAACAAAACCCCCCCAAAAAACTCACTGATAAGAGTATTAGAATGGAGCAGAACACATTCACATGCCTATTTAAAAAGACTGAGGATTCCCTTTAAAATGAACCAGATGGTGTGGGCATTCACGTAGCCCACTGGACATGACAGAGAGCCACCTTACATTGCAACGCTCTTATTATTGCAAAGTACCATTTTCCTCTTGAAAACCCCTCATTCATGCCCTCCTATTCCAGGGGCTTCAGTGCCTCCCACTGTGCTTTGTTTTTAGGAAGAATTGAACAGAAGCTGGAAGATCAGTGGGTCACTTGTACATAATGGTCCGGTGGGGGAGGGGACAAAAGTGCCAAGTTCTAAGGAACTCATTTCAGTCTTCCTCTAATTTCCTAAAGCTGTGTGCCCGGACGATAACACTCAGGAGGAAAAAATTTTCTACGAAAGTCAACCCATTTGAAACATACAAAGGATCGGTGTAGGAACATTGTGGACATCACATACAGACAGTGTTGCATTTTGTACAAGTCACTTGTGGTCGTGGATCTGGAGTGGCAGCACCTATACATCATACGTACAATGTCTGCTTATTTTATATTTCATCATTCTATGGGGATTTCTGGGCTCATCGGTGGAAATCCAACTCCTCAGCTGTAGAAGAGGTTGTACAATTAACCTCCATAGCGGTATGATTATTTCAGATTTTTGGTGCTGAAAGCGGTACCATTATTTTGCATGGAAATATGTCGTTTTTTTTATTGTAGGCTGTAATATTTAGGAATAACTCACTGAAATCTGTCCGAACAAGAGTCTAGTAAACATCCCGGGTATGATAAAATTTGAAACACAAAATCATAAATTATAATTTAATAAATAATCATAAAAAATAATAATATAATAATAATACATTTAATTCAATAATATAATCAAACCAAAAACACTGAAATTTGAAATAGAGCGCCAAGTTCGCACATCACTGAGCAAAGTCGCAAAACTGTTTTCAGTGTCTGATGACGAATTTCCCCCACGAATCATTATCACTCAATTCTGCAAGTGGTTCTGATTTATTATCGCTGTTCTCTAGCTGGTCTAAAACCGCTTTTGACCTAAAGGGACACTTTTTGGACGCCATGGACTTTTCTAAGTTTCCAGGCAGAAATAACAGTCAAAATGCAGACAGGGCACAGGGCAAAGCACTAGGGACAAAATGTATGTGAAATGGGTTGAAACAGCAATATTTTACTATGTAAAATCGTTTTGAAAAAAAAACATTTTTTTAAAATTTTAAAATTTCCCGCCGGCGTACGTCCCGACGTCACAGGGACCGGAACACAGGAGCCGGATGCCGGCATCAGCCGGAGGAGATGGCTGGGGACGCTGCAGGGGACACATCGCGGGAGCGAAGGACAAGGTAAGCTCTGCAGGGACTCCCTATGCAGCGCCGCATGGTAAGCCTGAGTGTAGCTCAGGGTTACCGCTTTTGGTATAGACATTTTACCCCGGAGCTACACTCGGGAATACCGCCAGGGATAGGTTAAATTCAAAATACTAAAAACACAACTTACAAAGCTATCCACAACTCAGCCCCCAGCTACATCACCAACTTGGTCTCAACATACCAACCAAATCGTTCTCTTTGTTCCTCCCAAGACCTCCTGCTCTCTAACGCCCTTGTCACCTCCTCCCAGGACTCCTCCAGAGCCTCTCCCATTCTATGAAACTCCCTACTCCAATCTGTCCGACTACCTCCTACTCTGTCCACATTTAGACGATCCCTGAAAACCCGTCTCTTCATCTAACAACTGAACTTTTATTTCTTCCATCAGCCCATCCCCCACAGTTATCACCTTTTGTATTATTATTATTATTATACAGTATTTATATAGCGCCAGAAGGTATGCTCAGCGCTGTACATTATAGTGGGGGACAGAACATGAGATAATACAGAACAAAACAATACACGAGGGGTTCGAGGACCCTGTTCTTTCGAGCTTACAGTATCTCTTGACCCTCCCACTTAGATTGTAAGCTCTAAGGAGCAGGGCCCTCTGATTCCTCCTGTATTGAATTGTATTGTAACTGTAATGTCTGCTCTCATGTTATTTATTTATTTCAGGAACTTATGTAGCGCCATCAATTTACACAGCACTTTACATATATATTGTACATTCACATCAGTCCCTAACCCTCAAGGAGCATACAATCTAAAGTCCCTAACTCACATTCATACATACACATACTAAGGCCAACTTAGTCTGGGCATACACCAGGGGCGGACTGACAACTCATGGGGCCCCCGGGCAATAGGGGATCATGGGGCCCCTGTGTCCTTGCCCAAACTCAAAAAAGCCTATGAAAAAGGTACCAGGGGCATCTCATGGGGCCCCCTACGGACCCCGGGCCCTCGGGCAGTGTCCAAGTTTCCAAATAGTCAGTCGGCCCCTGCCATACACTATACAATTTTCTGTCCAATTTCTGCCCAATTTCCTTTAGATTTACCTTCAACTATGTACTGCAAGGGCCTGCCTAATTGGATACAATTAAAAGTGTTGTTAGGTTTGACCTCCTATTATATGGTTTTTGGTAAATATAAACCAAAAATGTCAAGAAAATTGTATAGCCAGCCTTAGACCAGATCCAATTAACCTACCAGTATGTCTTTGGAGTGTGGGAGGAATCCAGAGTACCTGGAGGAAACCTATGCAGGCACAGGGAGAACATGCAAACTAGAGGCAGGTGGTGCCATGGTTGGGATTTGAACCAACAACCCGAGTACTGCCAGGTGGAAGTGCTAACGATTTAGCCACTGTGCTGCCCATGTTTTAAAGCATTGCACAAACTGTTGGCGCTATGTAAATCCTGTATAATAATGATAAAAACAATAACCCTCTCTCAAGACTTTCTGCAGCTCAGATACCCCTTAGTCATCATTTTTTCTCTTTTAGCCTTTGACAAGTGGATGTAGATCCAATGTTGGTCTGAATATAAGGCCTCGTTTACATGAGCCGTATAGTTTGCTGACCCTCTGAAAAGTGATCTGCAGCAGATCACTTTTCAGGTGCAGTTGACAGGCAGCTTGGAGGCAATATGTCACCTCCTGAACATCTGTTTTAAAGTAGACCTAAAGGCAAAACTTTTTTCATTTCCATTTTCCGGCAGTTTTTTTTTTTTGTCATCTGTGTCCCAATGGGGAGATTTCTCTTCACTTCCTATTCAATAGTTGAAACAGGATGTGAAATCCTTCCAAAGCGAGGAAATTTCTGGTTGACACCAGGGTCATGATAATTACTGTTCCCATTGGAAGATTTTCCCTCTGTTAGGCCTCATGCACACTGGGCATGACAAAAATTGCTTTTTTTCTCTGCCTATAAACGCCCCTCCAGGTTAGCCTATGTGTCCATGCACACCTACTGTAGGCATTCACAGGTGTTTGCAGGCAGAAAAAAAATCCATCCCCTGCATTCAGAAGAGGAGTGTTTGGGCAGAGAAAACACCCAATGCGCCTAAACGAGTGTAAATGTACCTGAATGCATCTGAACACCAGGAGCGTTTAGCGCTTGAATGTCCATTCATTTCAATGGGCAGAATAAATTATTATTACCTATTGTTTAACCTCCCTAGCGGTCTGATTATGTCCATATTTCTGTGCTCAAAGCGGTACATTTTTTTGCATGGAAATATGTCGTTTTTTTATTGTAGGCCTGTAATTTTTAGGAATAACTAATTGAAATCTGTCTGAACAAGAGTCTAGTAAACATCCCGGGTATGATAAAATTTGAAACACGAAATCATAAATTATAATATAATAATCATAAAAAATAATAATATAATTACCAATATGTGACGATCCCAGGATCACTGCCACCAATATGTGACGAACGCGGCGTCAGACCCCAGCCCTTCTCACCAAACTCGTGACTGAAGCACTAGCCAATCTAAAACCGCGATGTCACGTGCGTAACAATGCCACACCCAGCTGCACCCTGCATTACGATTTTCCAGCTAATTGTACCACAATCTAGCCTGAATGCGATTGTTACTGGGTCAGGTTAATTACGCAGATACCTCCTTTTTGTACAAAGAAAGAGGAAACTCGGCGATATCAGCTATAACACTATAATGGTTGAGATAATCATCTGTATAACACGGTCACCGCAGGCCGGTTATACAGAGGGCTAAACACACACAGTAGCTCTCTTTTAGAGGCAGGAATTCGTAAATTGCAATAAAGAGCTATAGAAACACTTCAACACTTTCAGAAGGAAAGATTTATTACTAAAAGGTCAAACGGGTGCAATAAAAATATTTACAGAAAAAGATGTAACTCATATATATATAACTATACAGAGAGCAACAGCACAGCAAAGAGGTAACAGAGAGAAGTTAGAGGGTTAAAGTACTTGCCAAAGTCCTGGGTTAGCGGATCAAGTTTCAGAGCGAAAGGGCGGTCTCCCAAGTTGGTTCTGATGTTAAACGGGAGAATCCTTCAACAGCACAGTGGCTAAATGGTTAGCACTTCCGCCTGGCAGTACTAGGGTCGTTGGTTTGAATCTCAGCCACGGCACCACCTGCCTGGAGTTTGCATGTTTTCCCTGTGCTGTGTGGGTTTCCTCCTACACTCCAAAGACATGCTGGTAGGTTAATTGTATCCTGTCTACATTGCCCCTAGTATGTGTATGTATGAATGTAAGTTAGGGACCTTAGATTGTACACCCCTTGAGGGTTAGGGACTGATGTGAATGTACAATATATATCTGTAAATTGATGGTGCTATATAAGTACCTGAAATAAATATAAATCTAATAAATGTAATTCAATAATATAATCAAATCAAAAACACTGAAATTTGAAATATAGCTCCAAGTTCGCACATCACTGAGCAAAGTCGCAAAATCGTTTTCAGTGTCTGATGACAAATTTCCCCCACGAATCATTATCACTCAATTCTGCAAGTGGTTCTAATTTACTATCGCTGTTCTCTAGGTGATCTAAAACCGCTTTTGACCTAAAAGGACGCTTTTTGGACACCATGGACATTTCTCAGTTTCCGGGCAGAAAAAACAGTAAAAATGCAGGCAGGGCACAGGACAAAGCACTCGGGACAAAATGTATGTGAAATGGTTGGATACAGTAATGTAATACTATCAGATTTTTAGTGAATATCATTTTTTCACATTTTTAAATTTCCCGCCAGTTCTGGCCCCTCGTACGTCCCGGCGCTCGCAGGGAACGGAACCCAGAAGACAGATGCCGGCATCTGCCAAAGGACATTGCCGGGGACGCTGCAAGGAGGACATCGCGGGAGCGAAGGACAAGGCAATTGAAGAACAGATCCCGGAGCAGTGCCGCATGGTAAGCCGGAGTGTAGCTCAGGGTTACCGCTTGTGGTACTGAAACTTTACCCCGAGCTACACTCGGGAATACCTCCAGGGAGGTTAAGCTGACAATTTGTACAGGAACCAATCCTCTCCATTTCCCTCCTGCAACTGCTGTTCTCCTTTCCAGACGGCATTCAGTGGCTGCAGAAGGAAAATGTTCATTATGCTATTCAAAATAAAAAAAAATTTAATTCTGAACCATTTAATTGCATTGTGGCCCGCAACCAGTTACCAAATTACTTAAGTAGCCCTGCACCCCTGCAGTAAGGTATACAAGTGAAATAAGATAATGATTTCTATTTGCTTACTAGAATAAAACAGAATAGAACAGAAAATAATAGAATAAAATAAAAGAGAATAGAATAGAAAAGAATAAAAAAATAAAACTGAATAGATCAGAAATTAACAGAATAGAAAAGAACAGAATTGAATAAAACAGAATACAGTAGAATAAAACAGAATAGAATAGAATAGAATAAAACAGAATAGAACAGAAATTAACAGAATAGAAAAGAACAGAATAGAGTAGAGTAGAGTGGAATAAAACAAAATAGAACAGAATTGAATTGTATAGAAGGGAGTAGAGTAGAATAAAACAGAATAGAACAGAATATAATTGAATAGAATGAAACATAATAGAACAGAAATGACCAGAATAGAAAAGAAGAAAATAGAATAAAACAGAATAGAGTAGAGTAGAATAAAACAGAATACAATAGAATAAAACAGAATAGAACAAACATTAACAGAATAGAAAGAACAGAACAGAATAAAACAGAATAGAGTAGAATAAAACAGAGTATAATTGAATAGAATAGAACAGAAATTAACAGAATAGAATAAAACAGAATAGAGTAGAATAAAACATAATAGAATATAACAGAACAGAATTGAATAGAATAAAACAGAATATAACAGAAATTAACAGAATAGAATAAAACAGAACAGAATAAAACAGAGTAGAGTAGAATAAAACAGAATAGAATTGAATAGAATAGAACAGAAATTAACAGAATAGAATAAAACAGAATAGAATTGAAATTACCAGAATAGAAAAGAAGAAAATAGAATAAAACAGAATAGAGTAGAGTAGAATAAAACAGAGTATAATTGAA